AGTATCCCACAGGTTTTGGTACGATGTATCATTATTTTCATTAGTTTCAATAAATTTTTTGATTTCCTGTTTGATTTCTTCTTGGACCCATATGTCATTAAGTAGAATGCTGTTTAATTTTCATGTGTTTGTATAATTTCCAGAATTTCATTTGTTATTGATTTCTGACATTAATCCATTGTGATCTGAAAAAATAAATGGGATAATTCCAATTTTTTTGAATTTGTTGAGACTTGATTTGTAACCTAACATGTGATCTATCCTGGAGAATGATCCATGTGCTGATGAGAAGAATGAATATTATGAGGTTCTTGGATGGAATGTTCAGTAGATATCTGCCAAGTCCAATTGGTCTAGAGTGTTGTTTAGATCTTGTGTTTCTCTGCCAATTCTTTGCCTAGATGATCTGTTCAATATTGATAGTTGGGTGTTCAGGTCCCTTGCTATTATGGTATTAGTGTCTATTTCCTTTGTTAGGTCTAACAGAGTTTGCTTTATAAATCTGGCTGCTCTGACATTGAGTGTGTATATATTTATGATTGGTCTTCTTGATGGATCACTCCTTTTATCATTATGAAGTGGCCCTCATTATCTCTTTTTATGGTTTTTAGTTTAAAGTCTATTTTATCAGATAGAAGAATAGCTACTACAGCTCGTTTTTCATTTCTGTTTGTGTGGTAAATCTTTTTCCATCCTTTCGCTCTTAGTCTATGTGAGTCTTTATAGGTGAGTTGGGTCTCTTAAAGGCAGCATATAGTTGGGTCCTCCTTTTTAATCCAGTCAGCCAGTCTGTGTCTTTTAAATGGGGAATTTAAGCCTTTTACATTAAGAGTTGCTATTGAAAAGTGTTGATTTACTCCTAACATTTTATTGTCTTTTGTTCCTTTCTTTCTGATTTACTATTTGACTTCTGTATTTGTTGGTTCCTTGGGTTATATATAAACGTTTCTTTCCTCTTCATTGTTGGCATTTTTATTTTACTAGTGGGTTTTGATTTTTCTTGAGTCTTTATGGCAGTGGTAGTTATTTTTCAGCTACCAAACCCAGTTCCCTTGAGAATTTCTCATAAGGGTGGTCATGTGGTAGTGAACTCCCACAGTTTTTGTTTGTCTGAGAAATATACTATTTGCCCTTCATTTCAGAAGGATAGCCTTGCAGGGTAGAGTATTCTTGGCTGGAAATCTTGGTCTTTTAGTATTTTGAATATATCATCCCATTCCTGTCTGGCTTTTAGGGTTTGTGATGAAAAGTCTGATGTTAGTCTAATTGGGGTTCCCTTATAGGTGATTTGACGCTTCTCTCTTGCAGCTTTTAAGATCCTCTCTTTGTCTTTGAGTTTTGCCAATTTGACTATAGCATGTCTTGGAGAAGACCTTTTTGGGTTGAATACAGTTGGGGATCTTTGACCTTCCTGAATCTGAAGACCTGTGTCTTTTCCTATACCTGGGAAGTTTTCTGCCACTGCTTTGTTGAATAGGTTTTTCAATGCAATCTCCTTTTTCCTCCCATTTTGGAATACCCATGAGTCAGATATTTGTGTGCTTAATGTTGTCTGATATCTCTCTTAGATTTTCTTCAATGTTTTTAATTTTTTTTTCTCTTTTTATTTTTGTCTGCCTGCGTTATTTCAAACAGCCCATCTTCAAGGTCAGAAGTTCCCTTTTCTACTTCTGCAAGTCTGCTGGTTAGACTCTCAGTTGTGTTTTTTATTTTGTTGAATGAATTCTTCAGCTCAGCAAGCTCTGCTATATTGTTTTTCAGGGCACTGATTTCCTCATACGTTTCTTCTTTCAGGTCCTGTATACTTTTCCTGGTTTCATCGTGTTGTCTAGCTGAGTTTTCTTGTATATCATTTAGTTTCCTTAGAATTATCACTTGAAATTCCTTGTCAGACATTTCAAGGGCTTCTTGTTCTATAGGATCTAGAGCTTGAGCATTATTACCCTTTGGTGGTGTACTTTCTTGATTTTTCATATTTCTGATATCTTTCCTTTGATGTTTAGTCATTGTGGCAAAGGATTTCATGAACCACTGGTTTGATACTATTGTCTGGCTAGGATCCTGCTGGGGCTGCCAATTTGGCATGGCAGCCTCAGTGTCTGCTCAGTCGCCCGCTGGCGCCTTGGGTGCGTGGCTGCCTCGGGTCTTGGGAGTCTCCGGCGCGACGCCTCTCTGGTCAGCACACACTCAGCCAGGCTGGGGATGGGGTCCAGCGGTGGCAAGTCCTACGTGCTCAGTCACGCGCTGGTGCCCCAGGGCACGTGGTCTCCGCGGATCTTGGGCCTCTCCGGTAGGGCACCTCTCTGGTTGGTGCGCACTCAGCCGGGCTCTTTAACATAATTTTTGATCCAAAATGATCCATATAATATACTAACACAATATATATCATAACATAATTAATGTCCCAGGATCTACCTACCCCCAGAACTAGAAAATCACCAACGAGCTGCATCTATGGGCTCCTCTGTCACACATCTCCACAATAACTCACTGATATTCTGAATTTTGTGGTAGTCATTTTCCTGCCTTTTTTTTTTTTTTTTTTTTTTTGTGACTGGTAAGTGGATCGTAACCCTTGGCTTGGTGTCGCCCACACTGCACTCAGCCAGTGAGCGCACCAGCCATCCCTATATAGGATCCGAACCTGCAGCCTTGGTGCTCCCAGCGCAGCACTCAGCCAAGTGAGCCACGGGGTCGGCCCTTCCTGCTGTTTAAGATGTATTACTATCTCATATTTACATGTGCCTATATAAGTTTTTTTCTTTTTTTTTTAATAAAAATTATATTAAAACATATACAGTTTTCTGATAACTTAGATCAGGTGAAAAAAGAACAAAACCTAACCACAGTGCCAGAAACTTCAGTGTCACTAACTCAATGGGGGCCCCAAAATATAAGGGTAACAAAAGTGCTGTGAAAACTGTTATTTTTATTATTAATGATTTATTTGTTCATTTAGCAAATATTTACTGAGTTCTTACTTAGGCCATGTTCTGAGCTAGGTGATATGGATTTTAAACTCACTTTTCTAAAAAATCTTATTCATTTACTCCTCAATCATACTTGAGTTTAGTACAAGAGACCCTTGACTTGAGAATATATCTTTTATAAATTTCTATATTTTACAATTTCTAAATGTACAGTGATCAGAGGCTTGTACTTGGGTGTCCAGCAGCCCTGGGTTCAAAGCTCAGCTCTACCAAGCCCTACACCTTGACCTTGAGCCACTCCTTCCTCCACAGAACAGTGAGGCTGTGAGGCCGGCAGAAACACTCAGGAAGCACAGGGCCTGGAGGCACATGACATGACAGAAACAAGCACTTAACATATGTCACCTGTTATCACCACTCTGAATCACCACTAATTTCCTCAGCTTCCTCATCTGATAGTGGGCATGGCCTCACTTCACTCAGAATGCAGCGACGTTAACCGTGCCTTACAGGCGAGCAATGGCACCCCAAGCTGCAACGAAACTAGAGCCAGGTGCACTCGCTGCTCGGAGAGTTTCTGGCCACCAGCTTTATGAATGTGTGATTGCGATTCTGCCTCAGCCAAAATAGGCCAAGTACTCCCAGGTCAAGCATCTAGCACTTACACTATTAACATCTGAACACAAAGAGAAACATAATACAGATTAAGGAATATACCTAAAGAGTCAGCAGTGAAAATAAAAATGTGTTGAAGAAAAGTATATTAAAACCCCATAATACCTTTGGCAAATTTTCCAATATACCTACTTTTGTTTAAGGGCTTGAGTCCGACTCTTTTGACGGTGCGAGGCTGTTGCAAAATCCACAAAAATTCCACAAACAGGGGCTCTGGAAGAGGAATTGTTTGCATCTGTACAAGAAAAAAAATCTATTTTTATGACATTGAAATATTTCTTTCAAACAAAAAACATCAGAGTAAAACAATCAGAAGCATATAACAATTACACTCAATAAGCTCTTTACCTGAAACTAATAAAAACAATGATAAACATCTTCCATGAGCATTTAAGAGGCCTGATCCTGCTTATTTCAAATAAAACTTTCAGGCAACAAAGCAAATTCTACTGGTCATCTACTGTATATGCCTATTGCATTATTAAGAGTTTAAGAATACTTAAGAATGTACATAAGAATAATTATACTCTAGTAAGGAAATTGAAACATGATATACAAAATAGCTAAAAAACAGAAACAAGTACAAATTAATAGTGAACGAATAGTTAATGTGTCAAAGAGCACAAAACAAAGGAGAATGCAGGTGTGAGCCTCATCAGAAGGCTTCCTAAGACTCCCAAAGGTGTGACTGGATCAAGTATTCTGCTGACAGAAGAGGCTCACATAATGAGGAACAAATCCATGCCCTTCCCTCCTGCAGACGCGAGCCATTCCTTACCGACCTCTTCCCCAATGATTGGTGGTTTCCTGCTTCTACTTAACCACACATTTATCTGCTTATTATATGTATTTTGACTGTATCTTAATCTCTCTTCAGATTCCTTCCAGATACGTGCTTGAACTTATCAAAAGCAGAACAACCCTACCATTCTCCAGTTTTATAAGACCTGCATGGCCCTTTCCTGCACACTATCTCATTTCATCCTCACCAGAAACCCTCAAGGCCAGCGATGCAGAGGGTGTGGTCAGGATGACACCCTGGATGTGGGTTAGAAGACGGCCTTCAGGACAGCAGAGGTTACTTTGTCTCTGCACCTCCGTCCCCTCACTGTCAGAACATCTCCCACCCAGGAGTGTGAGGAGGACTATGCCAGGCCGTATTCATGAAAACTGCTGTGCCAACTGCAGAGCACCACAAAGACATTCAGAGATGTTACTGTTCCAGTTCTGAAAATGAGGAAACATCATTAGCTTCACAGAATTAAAATTCGAATAAAGACACCCCTGGAGCAGAGAACACACCTCTGTGCCAGGTGTCATCAGCACTCAAGAAATACTCATTCACTGACCAAGTACAAAATTTACCTTTTGGAGCTATATGTACACTTTCAAATACCAAGGCGTAACTTCAGTGCACTAGAAAAAGTTATTTATCAAATGGTTTCCTACTGCCCTGGAAAAGGATAAGGTATGCAGTTTATAACCAAATAGAACCATCACCGCAAGACTCAGCAAGACATTTCGTACAAAATAACACCAGGACAGCTGGGCGTAGCCAAGCAGGACACGGAAACAAATACTGTCTATCATCCACTGGATGGTGATAATTAAATAGTAATGGTAGCTCGGTATGTGCCTAGCACTCTTCTAAGCACTTTACACGTATTATCTTACTTAATTAATCCTCAAAGCAACCCTAAAGAAGGCCTTACCCTTCACAGATAAGGAAACTGAGGCACAGAGAGGGTGAGTAACTGCCCAAGGTCACACAACTCCCAAGATTTGAAACCCACATCAACACTGCCAGGCACTGTCCATGGTGCCTCCCACAGTACAGGACATAGCTTTAACACTGCTACGTTTTCCACTCTGTTCACCTGAGCCAACTCAACATTAAATAGAGCCGAGAGAGAAGCCAAACTCCATCTGGGTAGCAATGCATATGAAGGTGAAGAATCCTTTCACATAAGAAACATAAAAAATAATTTCCTATAACAAATAAAATTTATTCAAAGATCTGCTAAGAAAATCAGGAACTTTGAGAGCAAAACCTTACTCACTTCTCACCAAGCCCAGAGCAGGCGAGCTTTGGGTGCTGTCATGAAACCTGCTGCTGGGGGTACACGGGACCTCCTGTGTGCACTCCTGCCCCTCAGAGATACCATGGAACAAGTCCCCAAAACTCAGCTGGTCGACAGGGCCAGAATGACGGCAGATTGTCACCTGGACAGGTGCCCTGGCTTCAAGGAAATTTCTTCAGCTATATATTCAAAGAGCACTCTATACACCAGCACTGCCCAGGTAAGTCCTGCTACCTCTGTAGCAGGCACAAAATATGACAGTAGTGAAAATTCTGGCAAACCTCCACCGGTATTATTACATTAATTACTACTTATAATTAATTACTGATTATTTTACTAGATAATTTAAAGTAGTATATCATCCAATAATATTTTCAATATTGTCCTGTTACTGCTATTTTTTAGTGCTAATTTTTTATTAAAACATCATAGTCTTCCCTTTAAGTGATTCTAAAATATTTACTCCCACTCTCACAAGTAACTTATCATATCCAGATGCCAAGAATTTGGGGAAAAAATACATTTCTAATTTCATAAAGAAAATCTCTGGGGGAAAAGGCTCACTCGGAAGTGTGCCTGCTAACAGGCTGGGCCGGCCTGTGGCTCTTGTCCACTGACAGCTGGGACTCCTCCTCTTGGAAACCAAAGGAGGGAGCTGTCAGGAAAAACGGAGATGCAGGCAGACATGGCTGCATGCCGAGAACAGTGCTGGGCAGAAAAGTGACCTGCAACTTCTTTTTATCAGATGACCCTGACATATGTGTTAGAGGCAAAGGGCATGGCCTCCTCCTGACGCATCTGGCCACCAGGTGAGAATGACGCTGTCTACCGTGTGGACCCCCTTAACTGGCATTTCCTCCCATACCTGTCCTGGACGACCTTTCACATCCTATTTGACCTTGCTTCTGAAACAGTTTCGAAGACAACTCGCCGATCCTTTCGTTTTCTGCATTGATGGCCTTCTGGATCTCCTGGATCTCCTTCTTCCGAGCTGGAGGAAGGTCTTCAGTCTTGTCTTTCGACGCGGGCTCCTCATTGCTGTCATCATCGTCTCCGTCACAAACCTCAAAGTCGTCCTCATAGTCCTGCAAGTAGTAACAGCATTTCTGGAACCCTCTAGGACGACCTAACTTTAAGCAACACTCATATAGAACAAAATTATTATGATTTATAATTTAAAATAAAAAAGTCCTTGTGATGGTCAAGAAAGATTTTTATAGCTCACTGATTGTAATGTCACTGAATTATAAATCTGTATAAACTGCTGCATCTGTTTCTTTAAAAATGAAGCACAGAATATAGGACCACACACACTAACAGCCACTAACAACAGCGACGTGCAAGCCTCTGGGCCGAGAGTGGGCGTGTGTGTGTACTTAGATATAAACACACACACACACGCTTGAATGCAGTGCACTTGAATAGCATTAAACTGTAAAGTCATTTAATTACATCGCATCGACAAGCATGGGCAGAAGCACAGCAAGCGTTTTATAGGGAGCAGCCAAATCTAAAGGAAACCTGACCAGATATTGAGTATTAAGGGTAGTAAAAAAACAGAAAAAGAGTATTAAATTACTATACATAAGCTGATTTTAAAAAATAAATTATTTTTAAACTGAGAAAAAATTTAACTTTTATACATACTTCAAAATCATCTTCAAAACTGGCTGTGTATTCATCAGCTCTAGCATTTTCTAAATCAATGTCTTCCTTTTCAATTTCCTAGAGGTAAAAATCAAACATGAAACAAAAAAACACAATCATAAACTTGAATATGGAAAATAGGCTGGGAAAATATATATGCTTTTTGATATTCATTTGATGTTATTAATTTAAAAATGCAAGTATCTGTAAAACTAACATAATCTAACTTTAAATTCTTGTAAGAAATATCCTTGCAACTTATAGGTATGACCAAAAAGAGAAAACGGTTAATAAACATATCCTTTTTGGGAAACCTCTATAACTCTAGTGGTTAAAAATAAATTCCCGGGGCCGGCCCGGTGGCGCACTGGAGAGTGTACCGCTTGGGAGCGCGGCAGCGCTCCCGACGAGGGTTCAGATCCCATGTGGAGACCGGTTCCCGCTCACTGGCTGAGCACGGTGCGGGCGCAACACCGAGGGTTGCGATCCCGTTGCCGGTCAGTAAAAAAAGACAAAAAGGAAAAAAAATTAATTAATTAAAAAAATAAAAAAATAAATTCCCAGTGTCCAGCAATCCATTGCTTGCCCATGAATCTATTCCCCACTGAATGGTGCTCATCGAAATTTCACTGTTAAGAACAGACACATATGAAAGATGAGTGACGAGCCCTGGAGCACATCAGAGGAGTCACAGGAACACCAGTGGGCAAAGAAACTCAGGAGAGCCACATGGAGAACAAAGGTAACACCCAGCCTGCTCCACCCCATCCCCCAGCCAGGAGCAGCAGGACCCAGGAGGAATGTCCTCCTGCAGGGGAAAGGTAAGCAGGAGTTGCAAAGTGGACATCTCGAATTCAAACTACCAGGGAGCCACGTGGCCTTGTTGGCTGTGAGCCCAGGCTCCAGGCTGCTGCAGCACATTGCCATGTTGATATCTAAGCCAACACCTGAGTGCACTTTCCCCNCCGAGGGTTGCGATCCCGTTGCCGGTCAGTAAAAAAAGACAAAAAGGAAAAAAAAATTAATTAATTAAAAAAATAAAAAATTAAATTCCCAGTGTCCAGCAATCCATTGCTTGCCCATGAATCTATTCCCCACTGAATGGTGCTCATCGAAATTTCACTGTTAAGAACAGACACATATGAAAGATGAGTGACGAGCCCTGGAGCACATCAGAGGAGTCACAGGAACACCAGTGGGCAAAGAAACTCAGGAGAGCCACATGGAGAACAAAGGTAACACCCAGCCTGCTCCACCCCATCCCCCAGCCAGGAGCAGCAGGACCCAGGAGGAATGTCCTCCTGCAGGGGAAAGGTAAGCAGGAGTTGCAAAGTGGACATCTCGAATTCAAACTACCAGGGAGCCACGTGGCCTTGTTGGCTGTGAGCCCAGGCTCCAGGCTGCTGCAGCACATTGCCATGTTGATATCTAAGCCAACACCTGAGTGCACTTTCCCCTTGGGCCCAATAGCCCCAGCATCTCCACTCCCTTAAGGCCCCCTTGTCACTCTGGGACTCCAACACCCAAGCTCGCACAGTGCCCTGCACTCTGGAAAACAACAGTCCAGCACAGTGCAGAGACCACCCCCAGGACGGAAAGAGCCAGCACATACACTTTCCAGAGCAAGACAGCTGACCAACTGGCCTTCTGCCACTGCCAGCAGCCCTGCTCTCTTCAGTCAAGCACCTGTGCACCTGTCATGGGGCAAGTAGTCCCACCGTGGCTCCAGCAACACCGCCCAGAGCCATGCACTCTGGCTGGGAAACGGTGGAGCTCCCACATGCCTCTCTCAGGGGCACAGAGCCCTGTCTGCAGCTCCAGTGAGCTCGCCCAGGCCTACTTGCTCCAGCTGGGGAGGTGCAGAGGGACCCAACGTCTCTCTTGAGGGCAGAGGGTCCATTCCATGGCACCAGCAACCTTATCCAGAGTGGTCTACTCCAGCTGAGGAGCTAAAGAGAGACCAAAAATCTCTCTTGGGAGCTCAGGGGCCTGGCCGCAACCCCAGTGACCTTGCACAGGGTGGCTTACTCAAGCTGAGGAGCTGCAAAGTGGCCCAGTGTCTCTCTTAGGAGTGCAAGGCCTACCCATGGCCACAGTGACCTCATCCAGTGTTGCCCACCTCAGCTACAGAGTGCCCCAGCACTTCCTTTGGGAGTGCAGGGCTCAGCCTAAAGCCCTAGTGATCCCACCCAAAGTCATCCACTTCAGCTGAGGAGCTGCAGGGAACTCCAGTGCCTCTATAGGGGGCACAGGATCCTTGCCCAGGCACCAGCAAGCCTGCCCTGAGTTACCCACTCCAGCTGAGGAGATTCAGAGCACTCCAGCGTTTGCAAGCTCACGACCTCAACTATGACCACTGCAACTCAACCCTTGTAACCAGAAAGGAGCTGCCGAGTGCACGGGCCCCTAGGCCTCAGAGGTACTCACAGACAACTCCGATGTTGAATACAGCTAAAGGAATCACATGGAGGCTACACTACTACACTTCCTGGAACAAACCTAAAACACCCCACCTGAGAGAGTGAGATGATACAGTCAAAGTACTAAAAGAAAAAAACTGACACACGAGAATACTATACCCAGCAAAGCTATCTGTCAGAAATGAAGGAGAAACAGTGTCTTCCCCTGACCAAAAAAAAAACAAGAATTAACCCCCATGAAACTGGCTTTACAAGAAATCCTTGAGGGAGCCCTACGTCTGGAAGCAAAATAATGGTAGCTACCATCATGATAATATACAACGGGATAAAACTCACTGGCAGAGCAGATATGCAAACAAGAAAGAGGAAGAAATTATATCTGATCAATACAAAATACCAAACAGCAAAAACAAACAACAAAAGAGAAAGAAATAAAAGATATATAAAAAAAACAGAAAAAATTAATAAAATGTCAGGAGTAAGACCACACCTTCCAATAACAATCTTCAATGGAAATGGATTAAATTCCTCATTTAAAAGATATAGACTGGCTGAATAAAAGAGAAAGAAATAAAAGATATATAAAAAAAACAGAAAAAATTAATAAAATGTCAGGAGTAAGACCACACCTTTCAATAACAATCTTCAATGGAAATGGATTAAATTCCTCATTTAAAAGATATAGACTGGCTGAATGGATAAAAAAACTAGACCCAACTATATGCTGCCTACAAGAAATACACTTCACCTGTAAAATAGTGAAGGGATGGAAAAAGATATTCCACACCAATGGAAACCAAAAATGAGCAAGAGTAGCTATTCTTGCACTGGATAAAAAAGATTTTAAACCAAAAACTATAAAAAGAGAAAAAGAAGGACATTGCATAATGATAAAGGGATCAATTCATCAAGAGGATATAAAAATTGTAAGTATACATACACCCAAAATTGGAGCATGTGGATATAGAAAGCAAAAATTATTGGATCTAAAAGAAAAAATAGACCCCAATACAATAATAATTGTAGATGTATACTTCAGTACCCCTCTCTCAGCATTGGACAGATCACCTAGACAAAAAAATCAACAAAGAAACATTGGATTTAAACTGTACTATAGACCAAATGGACTTGACAGACAGTTACAGAACATTTCATCCAACAAACTGCAGAATACACATTTTTCTCACCAGCACATGGATCATTCTCCAGGATAGGCCACATGTTAGGCCTCAAATCAAGTCTTAACAATTTTTTAAAAACAAGTATCTTTTCAGACAACAATGTAATAAAACCAGAAATCAATAACAAGGAAGATTTCAGAAACTGAACAAATACATGGAAATTAATCAATATACTCCTAAACAACCAATGGGTCAAAGAAGAAATTAAGCAGGAAATCAAAAAATTCCTTGAAACAAATGAAAACAGAAGCACATCATACCAAAACCTATGGTATCCTGCAAAAGCAGTACTAAGAAAGAAGTTTACTGCAATAAGTGCTTACATCAAAAAAGTAGAAAGATTTCAAATAAACAAACTAACATTAAACTTCGAGGAACTAGAAAAACAAGAATAAACCAACCCCAAAATTAACAGATGAAAAGAAATAGTAAAGATCAAAGCAGAATTAAATGAAATAGAGACCAAAAAAAGGAATCAAAAGATTGACAAAACAAAGGTTCTTTTTTGAATGGATAAACAAAATTGACAAACTGTTAGTTAGACTAACTAAGAAAAAAAGAGAGAAGACCCAAATAACAAAAATCAAAAAGGAAAAATTATAACTGACATGACACCACAGAAATACAAAGAATCATTAGAGACTATTATGAACAAGTAGACCCCAACAAATTGGAAAATCTAGAAGAAATGGATAAATTTCTAGACAAATAAAACCTTCCAAGACTGAACCAAGAAGAAACAGAAAACATGAACAGACTAATAACAAGCAACAAGATTGAAGCAGTAATCAGAAGTCTCCCAAAAAGAAAAGCCTAGGAACACATGACTTCACTGCTGAATTCCACCAAACTTTTAAAGAAGAATCAATGCCAATTCTTCTCAAGCTATTCCAAAAAACCCAAGCAGAGGGTATTCTTCCAAACTCACTGTATGAAGCCAGCATCACCCTGATACCAAAATAAGATAAGAACAAAACAAAAAACAAAAACTACAGGCCAATATCCTTCATGAACAAAGATGCAGAAATTCTCAACAAAGTACTCGCAAACAAAATTCAATAGCATAGGGCTGGCTCGTGGCTCACTCAGGAGAGTGTGGTGCCGATAACACCAAGGCCACGGGTTCGGATCCATGTAGGGATGGCCGGTTAGCTCACTGGGTGAGCGTGGTGCTGACAAAATTCAATAGCACATCAAGAGATTATGTACCATGATCAAGTGGGATTCATCCAAGGGATGAAAGGAAGATTTAACATATGCAAATCAATAAGTGTGATATTCCACATCAACAAAACAAAGGATAAAAAACATATGATCATCTCAATAGATGGAGAAAAAGCTTTTGATAAAATTCAACATCACTTCAAGATAAAAACTCTCGGCAAATTAGGTACAGAAGCAAAATATATCAACACATAAAGGCCATATATGACAAACCCACAGCTAACATCATCCCGAAAGGAGAAAAGTTGGAAGC